GAATGACATCAATTTCTCGAGTGGGAATCATGCTCTGAGGTAAAGCCAAAGACCTCCTTTTTCCTGGAAGCAAATCCCCATTTGGAGAAGTTTCTGATTCTACCAGTAATGTATCCTCTCTTGAATCATTATTGAAACTAATGACACATGTATTATTATCGCTTGCGTTATTGACCTCAACTTGATTTTGCTCTTCAATAATTGTATCATTCCCTGTAATTAACTTATTTTCTTGTCTTTTACAATTCGCAACAAATCCCTCTCTCATGGGACTGCAAGTTAAATTTTCAATATTGACAGATGCAACTGGATGTTTCGGACTCACCTCAACTACATCTTGTCCATTTTCATTTGTCACTTTCAAGTTCTGTTCATTTTACCCTTTTGCTAGAGTATCCACTTTCAAATCACTCATATTAGCAAGGAGAACATAGGTACTTTTCATAGAATCTTTCTACTTGGAACCTAACACATTATAATGTCATTTGTTCAATCGATTACAATCAGCCTTCTCATGACCACGTAGTCGACAATAAACACAGTACTTAGGAGATCTCTCATATACCACTTCTTGTCAGAACCCTTCACCATTATTTGGGCCAATCCGAATGACATTATCCTTTGCAATCAAAATATCAATTTCTGTGCATACTCTGGCATAACTCATTTCTCATTTACCTCCTTTCTTGTAAAAGTGATTGTTGGAAGGTCCGTGTCCAAGTATTTACCAAGTGGTCTCACAATTGCCTACATATAAGAAGGAATGCAGAAATTTAATGGAAGAAGAGGAAATCTAATCCAAATCGGAGTGGCTGGGGATTCCCATTTTGTGTTAAAATCTCTTGACCATCTAAATAGCCGAAACAGAGAACCTTCAATAGGAACATACCACAACCTCCATTTGGTGACACGTCCAGGTTTTTGAAAAATCATCTACATGGCGCCTATCAATGAAACCGACAATTGGAACAGCCGACAACCCCCATTTGGTGATAATATGATGTCGAATAACATCCATTCGAGGATGAAATTTTGAGAATTTGGCAATAAGAGCAAATTGAAACGGTGCTTCAGATCACTGTAATTCAAGTGGGGAAAATACCACAGCATGTTTCCCCTCCTTTCATTGTGGCTATCTTAATGAAAAAGCAACATCCATCACAGGAATAGAGGAGAGGTCATGGCATATAAGAAAAGAAGATACAACAACTGCATAAGATATTTGAATAGCGGAGGAGGAGATTTGATTATTCGAATTAGGTGGTGTAGGATCATTCCTATGGCTAGACGGCTCAGCCATGATGGCATAATAACCCCACCAAGAGAGGTGGGGGCTGTAGATCTACGGTTGTCGCCGAGAGAGAGAGAGAGAGAGAGAGAGAGAGAGAGAGAGAGATTCCTATTGCTCCGAGATAATCTTAGAAATTCAATGCTTATTAGTT